TATCACATGGAAACACAATGGACAATGTACATGTATCACATGGAAACACAATGGACAATGTACATGTATCACATGGAAACACAATGGACAATGTACATGTATCACGTGGAAATACAACGGACAATGTACATGTATCACATGGAAACACAATGGAAAAATGTACATGTATCACATGGAATCAGAATGTACAATGTACATGTATCACATGGATTCAGAATGGACAATTTACATGTATCACATGGAATGAGAATAGACAATGTAAATGTATCACATGGAATCAGAATGGACGATGTACATGTATGCCATGGAATCAGAATGTACAATGTATATGCTTCACATGGAATCAGAATGTACAATGTATATGCTTCACATGGAATCAGAATGTACAATGTACATGCTTCACATAAAAACAGAGTGTACAGTGTACATGTATAACGAAAGAAACAAAATAAAATGAGCGATGACATTTTTAGTTCACAAATTATTGTTTATCTTTGCTAACTTCGATTACATCCCAGAGATCGAATGATTTGAACGGTTCTCAGTTATTGAGTAATCGAGGGACCCGTAGCTACACGCAGACATGAGCCGTCCATAACACACATTATTCAACGTATCATATACTGCTGCTCGATTCAGCTAAAAGGCCATAACGTTTTAACAAAAGACGACAAGTAAATCATGGCCAAACTTTAGAAACAAAATGTGTTTTTTTTTACACTTTCTTAATAGTCAGGTAATCACACGAATAAACTATATATATATATATATATATTTAACAAATGGACATTATAGAAGTGTTTTAAGTCTTTAACTAAAACAGTAAATACAATTGTAACTGCACTATTTTTATTATTAAATGTGATAAGTCAAATCACGTTATATTTTAAAGGACCCCCGAACTACCATACTTCTAAAAAAAAACGACCTACAATAATCCTATTGCACACATATTTAGTTTGCTGAGGAGTACGTCCAGAAGTTGACCAGGCGCCTCAAACTAGACATGTCTTCGGTGGACCACCTCCAACTAAACATTTGTTCTGTGGACCACCTCCAACTAAACATTTGTTCGGTGGACCACCTCCAACTAAACATTTGTTCCGTGGACCACCTCCAACTAAACATTTGTTCGGTGGACCACCTCCAACTAAACATTTGTTCTGTGGACCACCTCCAACTAAACATTTGTTTGGTGGACCACCTCCAACTAAACATTTGTTCTGTGGACCACCTCCAACTAAACATTTGTTCGGTGGACCACCTCCAACTAAACATTTGTTCTGTGGACCACCTCCAACTAAACATTTGTTCTGTGGACCACCTCCAACTAAACATTTGTTCTGTGGACCACCTCCAACTAAACATTTGTTTGGTGGACCACCTCCAACTAAACATTTGTTCTGTGGACCTACTCCAACTAAACATTTGTTCGGTGGACCACCTCCAACTAAACATTTGTTCTGTGGACCACCTCCAACTAAACATTTGTTCAGTGGACCACCTCCAACTAAACATTTGTTCTGTGGACCACCTCCAACTAAACATTTGTTTGGTGGACCACCTCCAACTAAACATTTGTTCTGTGGACCACCTCCAACTAAACATTTGTTCGGTGGACCACCTCCAACTAAACATTTGTTTGCTAGACCACCTCCAACTAGACATCTGTTCGGTGGACCACCTCCAACTAGACATTTGTTTGGTGAACCACCTCCAACTAAACATTTGTTTGCTAGACCACCTCCAACTAAACATCTGTTCGGTGGACCACCTCCAACTAAACATTTGTTCTGTGGACCACCTCAAACTAAACATTTGTTAGGTGGACCACCTCCAACTAGACATTTGTTTGGTGAACCACCTCCAACTAAACATTTGTTTGGTGGACCACCTCCAACTAAACATTTGTTTGGTGGACCACCTCCAACAAAACATTTGTTTGGTAGACCACCTCCAACTAGACATCTGTTCGGTGGACCACCTCCAACTAGACATTTTTTTTTGTGGACTACCTTTAACTAGACATTTGTTTGGTAGACCACCTCCAACTAGACATCTGTTCGGTGGACCACCTCCAACTAGACATTTGTTTTGTGGACCACCTCCAAATAGACATTTGTTTGGTGAACCACCTCCAACTAGACATTTGTTTGGTGGACCACCTCCAACTAAACAATTGTTTGGTGGACATCCTCCAAATAAACATTTGTTCTGTGGACCACCTCCAACTAAACATTTGTTCTGTGGACCACCTCCAACTAAACATTTGTTCTGTGGACCACCTCCAACTAAACATTTTTTCGGTGGACCACCTCCAACTAAACATTTGTTCGGAGAACAGCCTCCAACTAAACATTTGTTAGGTGGACCACCTCCGACTAGACAGTTGTTCGGTGGACCACCTCCAATTAAACATTTGTTTGGTGGACCACCTCCAACTAAACATTTGTTTGGTGGACCACCTCCATTGAGATAAAAACCAACCCTTACGATGTTACCGTTACCGTCCCTGCAGTACCAGGCCGGCTTGTCTGTGCTGTGTTTAGAAAGACGCGAGCTCTGATCACTCTTCCACTCAACACGAGATTGATGCACTGTTCCACGTAGCCGATTACGTCCTGGCGATTGAGTTCAAGCCATCAAGAACAACACAATTTAGTTGCGGCTTTCTCCAAGATTTTGGTGAAGCGCCGTGAAATAACCCCAGATGAGTACCCCACGCTCGTAAGGAAGTTAAAATTATTTCAAAATGGCTGCCAGCATATTCTAATGTTTCGGTGAGGCTTAGTGCCCTAACTACAAAATACGGGAAAAAGCCGAACAGCCCCTTAACTTATCGAGACGGCGGTCAAAACGAAAACATAAAGAAACCATTTCCTCTAAAATCTTGTCGACAGTTTCGTTCTGTGTGATCTGTCACGCACATGGCCGTATGCACCAATGATTTAGAACCACTGGGTTTTTTCTTCTGTGGGCTGATTGTCTTACAGCTAAAAGATGTATTCCTGGTGATTGAGAAATATCTTAGTAGGCTTCAGAGGGATTGCTCTCTCGGTTGTATAATTACGGTCACCTCTCATAGCTTCGAAATGTCGCGAAATAAATTCTTGACCAGAGGTTCGAAGAGACTGATCATGTGGGGGGCAAGTGAAGGAGGGGACAGTCTAAAAGGAAAGTTCGTAGCAGATAAGCAATTAAAAAGTGTTGTTCAAGAGGTAGGTGATTCTTTGAGAACCGCTGTCCATCACGCGGGAAACACCAGTGAGTTTAAACAAATGAAGTCATCATACGCCTGGCTTAATGTTTCATCAATTACAGGTCGTCCATGGGCTAATATTATTGGATTAGTATGACCTTGAGATCTTCTTAGAATTTATCAGGAATGAATAACAGCTCAATATGCCTTGAGAATGAATAATAACTGGCTCGACCTTGCATGAATCTGAAGGTTAATTGGGATTAATGTTGATTTCATATCTGTAGGGGTACTAAGTGTCCATCTTAAATGTGCCGTGAAGCCCCAATAGCACGTCTAGCTGTGGGCGTGTCAAACCGCGATAGCACGTGTAGCTGTGGGTGTGTCAAACCCTGATATCACGTGTAGTTGTGGGCGAGTCAAACCGCGATGTCACGTGTAGCTGTGGGCGTGTCAAACCCTGATATCATGTGTAGCTGTGGGCGTGTCACCGACACAATATGAGGGTAGGCGCGTGAGGGGTTGCACTTTCACAATTAAAATGGATGCGGATCAAGGGATTTTGTACATCTTTATTTCGAGGGCGTGTCCTCTCATATGTACATTTTGTACCAATAATTATTTCAAAGGCGTGTCCTCTCCTCTGTACACTATGTACCAATAATATTTCAAAGGCTTGTCCTCTGCTGTGTACGCTATGTACCAATAATATTTCAAAGGCGTGTCCTCTTCTTAGTGCAATATGTACCAATAATATTGAGATTCCGTTCGACTCCTTTTCTTTCATTACATCTCCTGATAATAACACTGTCGTTGACTTATCTGGTATGTGAGGGGCTATATTGTGTGTGGGTGTTACATGGTGTGTGGGGTGATACATGGTATGTGGCATGTTACATGGTATGTGAAGTGTTACATGGTATGTGGCATGCTACATGGTATGTGAGGTGATACATGGTTTGTGGGGTGTTACATGGTATATGGCATGCTGCATGGTACGTGGGGTGATACATGGTATGTGGCTTGTTACATGGTATGTGAAGTGTTACATGGTATGTGGCATGTTACATGGTATGTGAGGTGATACATGGTTTGTGGGGTGTTACATGGTATATGGCATGCTGCATGGTACGTTGGGTGATACATGGTATGTGGGTGTTACATGGTATGTGGCATGTTACATGGTATGTGGCATGTTACATGGTATGTAGGGTGATACATGGTATGTGGGGTGTTACATGGTATGTGAACTGTTACATGGTATGTGAACTGTTACATGGTATGTGAACTGTTACATGGTATGTGAAGTGTTACATGGTATGTGGGGTGTTACATGGTATGTGAGGTGTTACATGGTGTGTGAGGTGTTACATGGTATGTGGAGTGTTACATGGTATGTGAACTGTTACATGGTATTTGAACTGTTACATGGTATGTGAGGTGTTACATGGTATGTGAACTGTTACATGGTATGTGAACTGTTACATGGTATGTGAACTGTTACATGGTATTGAAGTGTTACATGGTATGTGGGGTGTTACATGGTATGTGAGGTGTTACATGGTATGTGAGGTGTTACATGGTATGTGGAGTGTTACATGGTATGTGAAGTGTCATATCGTGTGTTGGTTGCTACAAAGTATGCCCTCAGCTGTTTTAAGGAATGTGGGTTGTTACATGAATGGGCTATTGCAAAGTTCGTAACATCCATGCATTATTATTATTATCATATGTCATCCTATCAATAGAGTAAAGCAAAATTTGGTGTCAACATTTTATTTGATACAAGATAAACAAGAAAGGGGGCGTGGCAACCTAATGCTTCTATCAGCGAACAAAGCAAGACGAGTAAAACTGGGCACAAAGTACACAAGTGAAGTATGTGTTATTTGAGTGACCTGTAATGACTTAGTTAATGGGAAAATCCTAAAGTAAATGTAATTCAAATCATTTTTCTTGTAATTTGTTTGTTGTTTCTTTTTGGTGTTGTTGTTGTTTATTGTGTGTCTTTAAAGTCATGACTGAGAGACTTGACTTGATTTGTCAGATTGAGAACTGATTTTCCCAAAGTTCCTGTATGTTCATCATTATCGCAAAGTGCCAGAACGTAGACTCAAGCTTCTGCAACGCTGGTCGATTCTGTGTCCTGTCCTGCGTGACAGTCCAGGACAAGTCTTTGCTCTGCGCCCCAAATGTGGCCTAGTGGACGGTGGAATCGCTGGGAAATCTTGGCTGCGCCTCGAGACGTTTTCTGGCACAAGTTCAGCCCGGCTCCGCCCCCTTTGACAAGGCGACTGTTCTGTAGGATAATACTGGGGAGTCGAGAATGAGATATCGTCTTCGGAAAACGAAGCGTCTCTAAAGTTATCTAGGAACTCAATATCTGCCAGAAATGAAGAGCAAAAACATCAATATTAAATAGAATCTCTGACAAAATCATCAATGTATTGCATAACATCACAGACAAGAACATCACTGTATTAAATAACATCACAGACCATAACATCACTGTATTAAATAACATCACAGACAATAGCATCACTCAACAACATCTCTGTATTCAATAACATCATAGACAATAACATCACTGTATAAAATAACATCACAGACAAAAACATCACTGTATTCAACAACATCACAGACAACAACATCACTCAACAACATCACCCAACAACATCACTGAATTCAATAACATCACAGACAATAACATCACTCAACAACATCATCCAACAACATCACTGAATTCAATAACATCACAGACAATAACATCACTTCAACGGTGTACTACATAAGATCGGGAGTGGTGGTGAGTCCTGTAGTGAATCGTGGTGAGTGCTTTATCGTCACGTGTGCGTTAGTATGTGGTGATGTGTTTTAGTGTGTCGAGATACGTGCCAGTGTGTCGTGATGTGTACTAGTGTGTGGTGGTGTCGTATTAGTGTCGTCATGTGTGTGCTAGTGTGAAGTGATACGTGCCAGTGTGTCGTGACGTGTGCCAGTGTGTCATGATGTGTACCAGTGTGTCGTGATGTGTGCCAGAGTGTCTCGACGTGTGCCAGTGTGTCGTGACGTGCTAGTTGTAAAGTGTGATTGTATGGCTCACATGGCGTGCAATTTTTTGTAAAGTTTGCAGCACGCGCAGTCTCGTTACCTTGAAAACCTTTTTCATCACGTGGCCGAGATGAGAACGATCTAAAAGTCCATTGACCTTTGACTTTGACCGGTTCATTCTCCCCAATCACACCCATAATTTTGCATTTCCTGGCGTTGTTGTTCACGCTAGGGTTTTCACTGACAAGGTCCTCGATGGAGGTTCCTTTACTTGTTGGCTCATCCGCACTGACGTCGTACACGGAAGCCTTGCCGTCACGTTCCTTGCTTCTGTCGCCCTTTCCACGTTTCTTCTTCGTCTTTTTATCGCCCTTTTCCGCTTTCGCTTTCAAATTTGCCTCGGCGACGGGCAGTCCGGTGAAAGAAACCTGTTTTCTGAGGTTTTTGGCCAGCTGCGTGTCGTCGACGTCTTGGTAAGACTGTGATTCATGTCTCTTGATCTGGGGGCGCCCTTCAGAAGAGCCACGACGATCTGCTACACTGCGGCGCCTTGATTTGCGACGCTCTCCACCATGACGCTCTTTGTGGTCCTCATCCCCATGACGCACTACAGAAGAGCCACGACGATCTTCTACACTGAGGCGCCTTGATTTGCGACGCTCTCCACCATGACGCTCTTTGTGGTCCTCATCAACATGACGCTCCTTGTGGTCCTCATCCCCATGACGCACTACAGAAGAGCCACGACGATCTGCTACACTGAGGCGCCTTGATTTGCGACGCTCTCCACCATGACGCTCTTTGTGGTCCTCATCAACATGACGCTCCTTGTGGTCCTCATCCCCATAACGCACTACAGAAGAGCCACGACGATCTTCTACACTGAGGCGCCTTGATTTGCGACGCTCTCCACCATGACGCTCTTTGTGGTCCTCATCAACATGACGCTCCTTGTGGTCCTCATCCCCATGACGCACTACAGAAGAGCCACGACGATCTTCTACACTGCGGCGCCTTGATTTGCGACGCTCTCCACCATGACGCTCCTTGTGCCCCTCACCACCATGACGCTCCTTGTGCCCCTCACCACCATGACGCTCCTTGTGGCCCTCTCCCTTATGACGATCCTTGTGGTCTTTTCGTCGTTTAGGATGTTCCTTGTTGTCCTTTCCTCTGCGAATAATTTCCTTTTGTCCCTCTTCACCATGACGCTCCTTGTGCCCCTCTCCACTATGGCGTTCCTTGACGTCTTCTCCACTATGAAGTTTCTTGAGGTCCTCTCCACTGGGAGTTCTTTCCTGGGGGTCCATTTCTGTGTGACGCCCTGTCTTAAAGCTCCTTATTCTCCGACGAATCGCCGCGTAGTCTGTTCCCTGAGAGGAAGGCCCGCGGTTGAAATCGTGGTCCCTATCCGTTAATGGTGGAGACCTGTAGTCCCAGTGAGTACCGGGATGATAGTCTGGTTTGCACCAAGGGGAAACTCCCCAGTCCTCCTCGCTGCCACCAACAGGGTCGTAGAGATGTGAGTCGTGCTCCCGTAACACTTTCCTACCGTGGGTGTCCATGCCACAAATCCCTCTAAGGGAAATCTCCCTACTGCCCTGTTCACAGGGAGATTCGTGGCCGTAGATTTGCCTGCTTTGCTGATCATCGACGAAACCATGCCTGTGGTAGCAGGCAGCAATTTGTCGCCTGAAGCTGTCCATGTTGAAGGCGTACTCTGGAAGAGGTTCAGGGTCATTCCGCATAGGGCTGGTGTCAGCTGTAAAGCCGAATGGATAAACTCCCTCATTTTGCGCCGGTGGCGGAAGACCCCCCGGGACGTAGAGTTCCTTGAGAGGGGGCGGTATTGTCCCAGACAAAACAAGAGCCTTGTATCTGAAGACGTGAATGGAATCATTTGTTAAGCAGTACCCACATTTCTAATTGTGTTTCCACATTTTTTAGTGTTTATATATTCAGATTGACTTGGTGGTAACTTACATAGATAACATTTCAAAAGTCAAGAGGCCCCTAGGTCACTTGACAGTTTGAGGACACCTAGCGGCCCCTCCTCATCCATAAGAACACTAATGCCACGAGGGGTATTTTCATCTTTCGCCTTAATGCAGCGTTTCTTAACCTGAGGGTCGAACGACCCTTTCAAAGGGGTCGCCTAAGACCATCGCACAACACATATACTCTACAGTTATGAAGTAGCAAGCAAAATATTTTTGAGGTTGGGAGTTGCAAGGACATTTGTAACTGTATTAAAGGTTCGCGGGCACTAGGAAGGTAGAGAACCACTGCCTTAAGGGGACTATTATTTCTTTTACTCTTACTATTCTTAGAACCATTATTATAATCATTGGGCAAAGTATTACTTAATGCACTGTTGTGAATATATAAGAATGTGGTGCATATTATTTGAATGTATTAAAATGTGATGCTAAGTTGTGTATTTGTTTAGAATGTGGTGTGTTTTGTTTTTGTGTTGTACGCAAACACTGACGTATAAAACAAGACGTATTGGTTCCCATATCCCATACAAACACTATCTCATTGGTTCCCATATACCATACATGTTAACACTATCTCATTGGTTACCATATACCTTACACCTTAACATTATCTCATTGGTTCCCATATACAATACATATTAACACTATCTCATTGGTTCCCATATACAATACATGTTAACACTATGTCATTGGTTCCCATATACCATACATGTTAACACTATCTCATTGGTTCCCATATACCATACATCTTAACACTATCTCATTGGTTCCCATATACCATACATCTTAACACTATCTCATTGGTTCCCATATACCATACATGTTAACTCTATGTCATTGGTTCCCATATACCATACATGTTAACACTATGTCATTGTTTCCCATATACCATAAATCTTTACACTATCTCACTGGTTCCCATATACCATACATGTTAACACTATCTCATTGGTTCCCATATACCATACATCTTAACACTATCTCATTGGTTCCCATATACAATACATGTTAACACTATGTCATTGGTTCCCATATACCATACATGTTAACACTATCTCATTGGTTCTCATATACCATACATCTTAACACTATCTCATTGGTTCCCATATACAATACATGTTAACACTATGTCATTGGTTCCCAAATACCATACATATTAACACTATCTCATTGGTTCCCATATACCATACATCTTAACACTATCTCACTGGTTCTCATATACCATAAATCTTAACACTATCTCATTGGTTCCCATATACCATACATCTTAACACTATCTCATTGGTTCCCATATACCATACATCTTAACACTATCTCATTGGTTCCCATATATCATACACCTTAACACTATGTCATTGGTTCCCATATACCATACATCTTAACACTATCTCATTGGTTCCCACATACCATACACCTTAACACTATCTCATTGGTTCCCATATACCATACATCTTAACACTATCTCATTGGTTCCCATATACCATACATCTTAACACTATCTCATTGGTTCAATTATACCATACATGTTAACACTATCTCATTGGTTCCCATATACCATACATATTAACACTATCTCATTGGTTCCAATATACCATACATGTTAACACTTTGTCATTGGTTACCATATACCATACATGTTAACACTATCTCATTGGTTCCCATATACAATACATGTTAACACTATGTCATTGGTTCCCAAATACCATACATATTAACACTATCTCATTGGTTCCCATATACCATACATCTTAACACTATCTCACTGGTTCTCATATACCATAAATCTTAACACTATCTCATTGGTTCCCATATACCATACATCTTAACACTATCTCATTGGTTCCCATATACCATACATCTTAACACTATCTCATTGGTTCCCATATATCATACACCTTAACACTATGTCATTGGTTCCCATATACCATACATCTTAACACTATCTCATTGGTTCCCACATACCATACACCTTAACACTATCTCATTGGTTCCCATATACCATACATCTTAACACTATCTCATTGGTTCCCATATACCATACATCTTAACACTATCTCATTGGTTCAATTATACCATACATGTTAACACTATCTCATTGGTTCCCATATACCATACATATTAACACTATCTCATTGGTTCCAATATACCATACATGTTAACACTTTGTCATTGGTTACCATATACCATACATGTTAACACTATCTCATTGGTTCCAATATAACATACATGTTAACACTATGTCATTGGTTCCCATATGCCATACATGTTGACACTATCTCATTGGTTCCCATATGCCATACATGTTAACACTATCTCATTGGTTCCCATATACCATACATGTTAACACTATCTCATTGCTCCCATATACCAAACATGTTAACACTATCTCATTGGTTACCATATACCTTACACTTTAACATTATCTCATTGGTTCCCATATACAATACATATTAACACTATGTCATTGGTTCCCATATACCATACATGTTAACACTATCTCATTGGTTCCCATATACCATACATGTTAATACTATCTCATTGGTTCCCATATACCATACATGTTCCCATATACCATACATGTTAACACTATCTCATTGGTTCTCATATACCATACATGTTAACACTATTTCATTGGTTCCCATATACAATACATGTTAACACTATGTCATTGGTTCCCATATGCCATACATGTTAACACTATCTCATTGGTTTCCATATACCATACATGTTAACACTATGTCATTGATTCCTATATGCCATACATGTAAACACTATCTCATTGGTTCCCATATACCATACATGTTAACACTATCTCACTGGTTCCCATATACCATACATCTTAACACTATGTCATTGGTTCCCATATACCATACATGTTAACACTATCTCATTGGTTCCCATATACCATACATCTTAACACTATCTCATTGGTTCCCATATACCATACATGTTAACACTATGTCATTGGTTCCCATATACCATACATGTTAACACTATGTCATTGTTTCCCATATACCATACATCTTTACACTATCTCACTGGTTCCCATATACCATACATATTAACACTATCTCATTGGTTCCCATATACCATACATCTTAACATTATCTCATTGGTTCCCATATACCATATACCTTAACACTATCTCATTGGTTCCCATATACCATACATCTTAACACTATCTCATTGGTTCAAATATACCATACATCTTAACACTATGTCATTGGCTCCCATATACCATACATCTTAACACTATCTCACTGGTTCCCATATACCATACACCTTAACACTATCTCATTGGTTCCCATATACCATACATGTTAACACTATCTCATTGGTTCCCATATACCATACATATTAACACTATCTCATTGGTTCCCATATACCATACATGTTAACAACTATGTCACTGGTTACCATATACCATACATGTTAACACTATCTCATTGGTTACCATATAACATACATGTTAACACTATCTCATTGGTTCCCATATACCATACATGTTAACACTATCTCATTGGTTCCCATATACCAAACATGTTAACACTATCTCATTGGTTCCCATATACCATACATGTTAACACTATCTCATTGGTTACCATATACCTTACACCTTAACACTATCTCATTGGTTCCCATATACAATACATGTTAACACTATGTCATTGGTTCCCATATACAATACATGTTAACACTATCTCATTGGTTCCTATATACCATACATCTTAACACTATCTCATTGGTTCCCATATACCATACATGTTAACACTATCTCATTGGTTCCCATATACCATACATGTTAAGACTATCTCATTGGTTCCCATATATCATACATGTTAACACTATCTCATTTGTTCCCATATACCAAACATGTTAACACTATCTCATTGGTTCCCTTATACCAAACATGTTAACACTATCTCACTGGTTCCCATATACCAAACAGGTTAACACTATCTCATTGGTTCCCATATACCATACATGTAAATACTATCTCACTGGTTCCCATATACCATACACCTTAACACTATCTCATTGGTTCCCCATATCCTATTCATCTTGACACTATCTCACTATTTCCCAGCCAAATGAATGCTGGTAGTGTGATATCTGAATGAATGCTGGTAGTGTGACCGAAAAATTAATGCTAATAGTTTGATAGCCCCGTTTAATACACTAGAGTGTAACTGAAATGCTGTCACGTTACAATCCTGTTAAATATGTTATTATTTTTCGTCCCTGGCATGTCAAGATGATCATAGCTTAGATTTGAATACTAGCCTTGACTTGAGCTGTATTTTTTTCAAAGTGAGGGAGAGTCGCTCAGTTCATCAGCCTCACTATCTCATCCTTATCTAC